AAAAACCACCCCCAATGAAAAGATTTCAAAGTTAAGGGCAGCAAAAATTGCTTTTCATTCTCCGCCACCAAGGCGGTTCTTTGAGTTGGARTGTACAATTCGTGAGAAAGATCGTAAAATGTTACAGCATTACATGAGTACTATCTTAAATAATACTATGGTACATGTTTTTCAGAAATAAGGAAGAAAAGATAATGAATCGTAGCCTTATTKATCCGCATTGAAATTTTTTTGAATGAAGATAGGTCTTTCTCCTCTGAAAAGAAAACTATATGTGTCACTGTGTCTGCACGAGCAAGGGATATATGACTCAGACGTAACACCACATTATTGAGGAGTCCCGGACATAGTCATATTCCTGATAACCGTGAAGATAATGAACTAGCCACACAATTAGACTCCAGCCTATAATGAGACTACAGGAAAAGGGAAATTTGTGTGCCTCTGTCTAGTTGTAGATTTTTAATCGACGAACATTTTATAAACATAGCTGAGTCTAGACAGAGTCAATGGAATAAATGGAGTATGAGCTCCTCATGCCGAATTTTAAAATTCTCAAGAAATGACATTAGAATCCTAGCAGGAGTGCTAAAAGGTCACTGTCTAGTTAGCGGATCTGCCTGTACACTTGGAATACCTTAGAATACCGTAGAATGTAGAAGAAGATGAGATTATTAAACTATTCGAAGCGAAATCAAAGCTTTGTGGACGCAAATAATCGCAACTATCCAGGGTTTCTTGACGATGCTTCGGACGTTAGGTTAGGTTAGATGGCTGATAGAAGATCGCACATGGACTGGTATGTGTAGTCCTTTGTAAAGCCATRGCAAAGAATAACTTCTTTATTTGAACTTAAACCAGCAAAACGCTTAGTAGCTAATACAAATTTGCACAACCGTTTAATTTCCACCCCCACCAGTTCGGAGGGATGTCTGAAGGTATGCGCTGTGGTCTGGAACTCATACCAGTCTTATCATAGAKACACTCGATGCTATAGATAATGCTCCTTTGCCAATCCGGCACACACCTATGAATGAGTTGAAGGACAATATCGTCGCCCTGCTATCTGAGTTACTGGTAATTTCTTTGAAGGAGGCTCCATTCCAGCGCAGTAARTCTGCTGCTACCTTAATAKTTGCAACATTGGCTTGGAAAACACTGGTACAGTTAGGAAGTCTGAAGCTGGAGTTGATAGAGAGCTCCTGACAGTAAACCTCTGYCCCAACCTTCGCSCCAAGCTTTGATCCGTCCGTATATCATTCTTCATAGCAGCTGTATGGGCAGAGAAGGAGCGGCCAAGTTCACTTTAGTGACTCCATGATCCAAGTGATCCGTTATGAAGTCAAAGTGTGTTAAAGATTTCCGAGTATTCAGAACCCGACTTCTCTTTGTTCTTTTAGGAACCAAGATTGAGTCTGATAGCAACTTCCGCAGATATACGCTTTCCGACGGTGTCTGTGCGCACTATGTGCAAGATGGCGTTTTGTGCAATGGTTGTAGTGTATCTTAGTATAGCACACATGCCAGCGAGCGCCACCCGTTTAACGTTCTCGGGAGTTTTTTTTTTTTTGTTTTTTTTGTTTTTTGGGAGTGTGGTCTTTTCTAGAGCCCTCCACTGCAAAAAGACTCAGTAGAATATATATGGCTAGAGGACTCCTTTCGGTGAGAGACTCCACCTTTCGCCAATCGCTACTTTACAGCGATATAGGGCAATCGATGGATTTTTTCTCTCTMTTTGATATTCGGCTTCCAGAAAGCTTCCTATATTTTACTATATACGCCAGTTTCAGACGGATTTCTCCTATTTTCGGCAGCGGCGCCACGAAGATCTTGTATCTTCTAGTATACAAAACAATCTTGGTTTTATTTGTGYTGATGGCRAGACCACTTCCRACTGCCCAAATTGTTACGACACTGAGATAAACTTGCGTCAACTCGTACACGGAACTCAGTAAATTTTCTTCGATCGTAAGTGCTACCTCTTCTGCCGCGATCCTCAAGTATTGCAAGTTGATCGTTAACGACAAGGGTCCATAGAGGAGGATTGAGAATTATACCTTGTGTTTCGAAGGTTGCACAGATAAAACTTTTCTTACTGATGAACTTCATCAAAAGCATGGAGATATTCAGAGAGTATACAATACAGAAAAGAGATTTTAATTCCGTTGCTTACACAATGGGTCTCCTGAGGGTCTAGGTGCCTCTTCAAACAGCCACTCTACTTACTCAAATCTACTTTATTTCATAAATATTAATTTTTTTGTTAGCACTGACATCACTACTGGTTTAAAGCAAGCACAGTGTTGCATTTTCTGTTTATGTAAAAGCCAAATTATCCATAAATATCTCTTCTTTAAATATTAAATTGAACTATAAAAAAGCAATTAAATGTCAATAATTTATCTCAACAATTAGCCTGACATTATGAGCAAATAATCGTAAATTGCCTGGCATAAACGCTTCCTTTGCGACCAAGAGAAAAAAAATCAATTAAATCATGTGAACAATTTTATACAAATAAATATAAAAAAAAAAAATTGTGTGTAGAAAATGATGTTTACAGAGATTTTATTATTTTTATAGATCAGCTTACAATAAACAAACATGTTGTCGTCCATTAAATCAGCATAATTTGTATAATTAAAGGCAACTTGCCGCTGCCACGCCCTTGCATTGTGACAGCAATGTCGCACACAATAAATAAACCGTTATCARTGTTGTGTGTATAATTTTTATTGCATAAATTACGGCTACAAAACAGATGCCGACATACATACAGACAGACAAATACAAATATTGCCGCTTGTATACAAGTGAAGTACAAGCAAAGTGACATACAAATATTTCCTTACGTATTTTTTGTTGTTGTTGTTGTTGTTTTTTGCAGTTTTTCTATTATCATACTTAACCCACATGAAAATAAAAATATTTTTTTTTATATATATATTTCCTTTTGTATGCGTGTTTAATGCAAATTTAATAACAAGTGTTGATTATATATATTTAGTATAATGAAATCCTTTAGCCTTACAATTACATACAAAAAGAGCTAACAGTAGAGGAAATTAAATTAAAAATTTCGACGAAATTGGAGAAAATAATAACATAGCATTTAAATTTAAAATAAAAAAACTTTTCGAAAAAATATTTTATATAAAAACGCTCATTACCGCTGCACTCACAGCAAACACTGAGCGCCAGGCGTAAGCAATTTTGCCACAGTARATAAAATCCAAATAAAATAACTGTTATAAAACTGCTAACTGCACCTACAAATATAAAAGTACATAAAAATATATATTACGAGAAGCAAAAAGTTAACACAACACATGAAAAACTAATCTAGCTCACTAACTTAAATAATTTGATTAACACTTTACCACCCTGTAACCAAAAAATACCGCAATACGCGACCGCGTGCGCTAAGACACGCTCTCACAACGCATTCACACGCCACAAACACACGTAGAATGCCACGCGCTCTTCCTCGCACACTCTCTACCGCTCTCACTCGCACGCTCTYCACACATATACCCTGCTAGGACCGTTCGCTTATTTAGCCCTTCTTAAATTTGAGGAATAATATGCTCAACACCAAAAAGACCAAGACCCAGAGGGATATCGATATGAAACCGTTATGTACAGATGGTTCAGAGAAACCCCAACCACGTTGTAATATCGAACGTAGACACTCTGTGGGTTTGGTTAACGGCAAGAATACGGTAATGAACTGCAATGCTGGATACATGCCCTCAATGGGCCAAATGATGCCGCACAACATAACGATTGGCAAGAAGGAGCCCATTGCCACGTAGGTAGCCGTGCGCTCCGTGTCCACGGCACAGGCGATAACGAAACCGAAACACATGCCACATAAACCGTTGAGCAGGCAGAGCGCAATCACCAGCCACATGCTGCCCTCGTTGGTGAGATCGAAGAAACCGAAGCCGACAATTAGCACGAAGGTCATTTGTAATATGACGACGGTGAATTGTGAGAGTACTTGTGAGAAGAGTATTTCGGGGCCTGTGATGCCGGCCACCAAGCAACGTTCCAACATGCCCTCGTTACGTTCGATCAGCATGGCACCCGATGTGATCGCCACGGAGAGGAAGAATATGATGGTTAATATGACGCCGGGTGCAGCGAAATCGGTGAAATTCGGATTGCGCGTGCCATAGATCGGTTTCTGCCAGTCGACGGGTATGCGGCCAATTTTCGGATTAAGTTCGCAATCGCGCAGTATGTCTTCGACGAAATCGAAGAAGGTGTATTGTAGATCACGATAGAGCAGCGTGGAGATTTGTTGATCTATAAGGAGAATGAAGAGCGTACGAAAAGTCAGACAGGCCTGAATATTGAAAAAATAAATGCAACACTCACTTGACATATCCAAGCGCACATTAACATCCGAAGAGTCGATGGTAGCATTATCGGCATAACGTCCGCTTTCAACACGTTCATTCAATGAGTTCGTATAGTTCTTGTCGAAAACCAATGAGCCCCATGCATTGCCGCGTCGTACCTCAGCATTGGCTGCTTCCTCGGTTTGGAAAAATTTCTGTAAAAACGCAAAACGTCGCAGTTTATCAAATGAAATGTAATATGTGTCCAGCAACTCACCACTTCCATACTCTTATTCTTCTTCAGCATATCCAGATAGCGGCAACTCARATACGTTTGATTGCAACCCGGAAAAACTGGACAAAATTGATCGATCGACATTTGTTCGGAGAGCTCACCATTAGCCACTGCCAACTTGAGACCGGTGGGATCGTGACCAATCGCGTAACAGAAGAGTATAATTTGCACCACCGGCAAGGCAACTATGAACATCATTATACTGTGGGAGAAAAAAAAAATGGACTTTAATAATGTTATGACTCGCAGGGGTTATTGGTTTCACAAATGGGTCATATGTGTCAGACATTATCCAGCGCCTTTTAATTTGTTTTTATMTTAAGGAAGCATTGCTGAAATAAGCGCGAACGAGCTGACCTGAAATACCTTTCTTACTACAGTTTTTCCTGCCACTTAGTTTAGCATAATGGGTTTAAAGGTTTGTTCTTCAACTCACCCCACATTACGCAACATCCACAGATAGTTTTTCCACACCAAGGCGCGCATGTGATGCGAACTTATCACATCCAAGTGTTGCATTARCGTTGCTGGTGGCTCCTTATCGCTTGGTAGCGGTGAAGCGGGCATCTCAGCGGCCGTAATAGGATCACGTATTGCTGAATTCATCGAGATATTATCACCGAATTCACCCGATATATCGGCGGTATTATGCTCATCAGACATATCCAAAGCCGGATTCGAAATGGCTGGCACTTGCACTTGTTCGACGATTTCCTTTGCAATCGACGAACGSCGTCGACGTCCCATATTCTGCAGGACAGACAACTTCAGAAAGACTTCCTCCAATGAGCTGGCATTGTATTGTTGGCGCAAAAATGTGGGCGCCTCCTCGGCAAGCATGCGACCACCACGCAAAAGGCCGATCTAGTAATGACAAAAAATACAACAATAGGAAATAAAAAATAATCGAGAAGTCGGAGATAAAAAGTTTTGTTGGTGGTCAGTTTTGTGGCTATTTACTTGCCACTTTTGTAAATATCAGTATACAAAGTAGGTATACCAACATATATACTATAGGTTAGTATAACATGTACACTATGCGTTAGTATAACATGTACACTATGCGTTAGTATAACATGTATACTATACGTTAGTATAACATGTATACTATAGGTTAGTATAACTTGTTTGTTAATAATAAACTAAATTAGTATGTGAGATTAAATTTGTACGCAGTCGCAAGCACGTGTCTGCAGAGCTGTGTGCTTTATCGAAGTTTTCGTATGCAACTTTGTGTGTGCTTTGGTCAGTTGGCCATTTGCGGCCGAGTAAACTTTGTGATAAACCGCATTGTGCAGTTTGGTTTGACCTCTGCCGCAGTCAATTATTGTACACAACTTCAACTCGACTATCAATTTTGGTCAGTCAGTTAAACATGAACTATAAGCGGGGAGTTAAATGCGGGGAGGTGTACGTTTTTAAATATGTACAGCCAGCCTGTCSTTCCATTTCTCTTTTAAACCAAATAGAAATGAAAGAGGAAAGTTAACTCGTCCGTTAGCGTAAGTCGACGCCTAGCAAACTCGCAAGCGCTGCATTCGAACTCACTTAACTTTTAGCTAAACGGAACAGAGGCAGCCTAGTTCTTTGACGATACAGTGGTACAGTGCAGGTCTTTGATGATTTGGCGGAGTGACGAAAAAGTTATATGACATTGGATTATAGTTGTGATCGAGTTAAAGTGGCAAAGTTTCTGCATAAGTACTAACATATCGGCTYTTCGCCGAAATTCAAGTATATACTTTTCACATAGTGAAATCGAGGTTAACCAACCTATATCGCTTCAAAGATGTTCGGCAGCAGGAAAGAGACTTGATTATAATGCATATCCATGAAGTTTTTACAAAGATCGGACCTAAGGAACTAACAGAAAATAAGCTACGAGGCTAATAGTAGATCGACTCTCACTTTAACTCAGATAACGGATAGAAGATCAWGAATAATGTTGTGCGTTTTAAAAATAATATAGTAAGGTTAAGAAGTCTAATAGTASCGTGACTGAAATGATTATTTTACATTTACATTTATTATTTGATAGCTCAAGTAGCTCACGATTTCCTATCATMGACCAAATGTAGCCAAAMAWTAGCCYTTTGAAGGCGAGYTAAAGTGAGAAAGMGAACYATWYCTCCCCAGGGTTGTGCGCTTGGTTTGGGGCCYGCCATGTAAACAATGCCTCTAATGAAAAGGGAAGGACCGACCGAARATCGATTAAAGTTTTTGAATAGTGCTCGTAGTCAAGATGAAGGTACGTTATCCCATTTCCAGTATGGTCGAGTCTACGTAACAAGAACGGATCAAGATTTTTATCCGGTTGTGGTTGTCTACTTTGCCTCGTTTACCAAAATTCGTTATTATCTTTCATTATAACAAAAACATGAAGAGATGTCGTCGCTCTCCGCCTTCTTTTCTTCTCTAGCCTCTTTAAAGTGGTTTTGCAAAGATCGTTAGAGTCTAAGCACACTAACTTGATACAACAAAGCAGCCTMACCTCAACTGACGCTAACTTATATTGCTTCATTGAAGCTAAAGCTCATAGAAATCGCAAGCTTTGCTGTCTGATATTCAACCACTGTGTCTTTTATTCCGTTTCCGAGCGCTTTTCAATCGCTCTTTAGTTCCGTTACTTTTCTATATTTACTTCGCTCTTTGCCTGTCTTATTAGAAAGTATTGAACTAGAAATGGGTAAATTTTGTACGTGCGTACAGACGTTTMAATAAATTTTCACTATAAATATAGTCTGGATTGTCCACAGCTTTAACTCATGCATAATACCGTTACATATTCTTAGCYAACAGTTAAGCGGGTGTTTGTATGTGAGATGCGATGAATGCGACGTGCGGAAATTAACTACAATAATTGATTACCATTTGAACATGAGCGGACACTCCCAGGAATAAATTAAATGAAAAGCGTAAAGCATAGAGAAAGATGAGTAAATAAAGCAAAAGTGGAAATGTAAAGAAAAGAAGTCTTTAACTCAATAGATGTAAAAAAACGCGTAGGAGTGAGATTGTGCGAATGATTGAGCAAGTTATAACGGAACTTTGCTTTCAGTTACAGGAAAAATAGTTCTATTTAACACTGCTTAAGCGAATTTCTGTGGTTTTGTGATGAGGAAAAATAAATAAAAATCATTGAAGGGGAGGTAAAGCTTGAACTAACTGCTTCCATTACTACTACTAGCTGGTTCACTTGTAGCCGTTAGTTGCTATGTGAGTTCTTTTTTTTTTGGCTGTAATTTCACAACAGGCATAAGCGGAGGTCTCACAGCCATTAAAAACCACGTTAGTTATATAGTAGGATATTCGTCTAATGGGCCTTGCAAATTGCTCATGAAAGCAGCTTCAGAAACATTTAATACATACATACATATATCCATAAGGTATGATATAAACGATATGTAACCGATGTGTAACCGCTGTGTAACCATTTATTAATTTTTGTATAATTATAACTGATGTATAACCGATGAATAACCGATGTATAACCGATTTTCAACTTTTACATAATTTTTTTATAAAACTAGATAAGAGAGATGCATATGGTGACCAAATAAGTAACTCTTACCATATAATCTACAAAAATATTTAACAGCTAAATTAAGTTTAAGGGGTCAGTAGGGTAATCTTTTTTCAAAATTTTTAATTTTTATTTTTTTGTGCATTTTCTGTTCCCTGATACCCTTAGAATTAATGTAGAAACCCACATTTCCATTGGAAGGTTTCGAAAAAGGCTCAAAAATACTAAAAGCGCTCGACGTTCGGAGCGCTCGGAGTGCACTCTTTTCACTTTAAACGCGTTTTTCTCAAAACACACTTTTTTTTTAAACTGACGGACATGCACAAAACGCCTGCCTATCGTCCCTACTAGATTCATAATTTTCTATAATTCATTGACAATGTTATGACAAAATATATATAAAAAACATGGGAAAATTTCAAAACAAAAAAAAAACAAAAAACGTTAATTACTTTTTTATTTATAAAATTTTTTCCATGATTCTGGGTACGATAACAACTGGCGTAATTTTTAAGAATTAATTGGGTCTTTGTGCTTCAGATGATGACATGAGTAATCGTGTCCGCCAGTGACACGCATCTCATTCACCCAGCCATTTCTCCGACAGATGTCACCAAAAATTCTGAAAAAATTTGCTTGTACACTACACGATATACCTCACGATATGTGAAAAAAGTTATGTTGTAGAATAAAAATTTCTATGAAAAAAAAAAATGTCAAAAAGCAGGTCAGATTACCYTAGTAACCCCTTAATCCATCCAAACTTTAYTAGATTTCAAATTTTGGTTCACTTGTCTCTATTTCTGTCTTTTTAGTACTAGGTTGAACTATTTTTTCACATCTTTGCAATCATTTCGATTCTGTTGATATCATGTCATATTTTGGGTTATAGCTTATGTATTGTAATAAGATTAAGAGGAACATTTTCTTTATCTCTCTGGAATGAGTTTTAATGCTTTAAAATACCTCTTTCTTATACATTGTAATAACCATTATATTAATGAAATATACTGTTCGACTCCCGGAATTTTAAATAATGTCTGCCTATTTCTGCGTTTCATTACAGTTCGCTTTAACCCCAAGTCCATTTGGTGGTGTCATTAGAAGAGCTACTTAAGCTGACACTCGATGGAGATATACATACATATCATAAGAGGTTAGATAATGGTAAGTCGCGTTTACTTTTACATTTGAATAAWTAATGATTTTAGTGAATCTCTGGACATATAACTGAACCAATCGTATATATATAATACGATAGTCATATTGATCATAACTCAGTGAAACCACTAATCTTAAGAAAATATGCCACATGATTGCAACTCATGGATTCTGATGTACCCAAGTAGCCAGTTTTGCCATGTCCACCTATACAGTTACAACTTTTAAAGCTGCTTCGATAAATTGCAAAGATATTTTCTTGAATTGGGAACTGAATTTTACCCTTACGTAATCCTAAGCTTTAGAATAAATCGTGTCAAACCTTCGAGGCTCCTTTGAAAGCTATTGCTTTACTTTCTTTCTATACAGTTTGCTGGATATTGTGTATCTTGACTATTGTTCGAGGATTTTGAAGARCAAAATAAATATTTAGCTTGTTTTGAGGCAATCTGAAGCTATCAAAAATTATTGAAGTGTTTAGTACTTCCATACGTAGACTTGCTAAATGATTTGCCTTTAAAAAAATGTACACCAAGYTTCCAAAGTTTCAAAACCTTTTGAATATGAAATTCTAGTGGATGATTTCATGTGAATTATGAAAGTTTTGACTTTTGCTTTTACTATTATTTGAATATTTTATTATATTTTTCCAGTTTAAATTTCCGCCCAAGTAATTAAATTCTATGTTCCATTTTCTCAATATCTAATAGCAGTCATTYATTATTTAAGCACTTTTTAACTTAACCAGTAATTTTTCTTTCCGTAAAGAATTTTTTGTTAACCAGAAATTAGCTGACAGATGACTGTTACCAATAGCCGTTGGGAAATGGGCACTTAGACTTTAAACAAATATTTTACGCATACGCCATGTCGGCTGATTTTATTAATAT